TAAAATAAAATAAATAAATAAATAAATAAATAACTGAAATTTAACCTGCTAAATCCTTCTATGTTGTTGTTTCCAGTGAACTTAATAAAAGCAAATGGTTAAATTCCCAGGATATCAGCTACTTAGTAGTTTGGGCAAATTCTCTAAAATAATTAGAGAAAACCAAGATCCATGGGGAGAAGAGGTCAAAAAAATCAAGATGGCAGTTGCATAGTCCCAAACTTCATCTTGACTTTTTTGACATCTTGACTTTTTTGACAACCCCATCCCCGTGGGCACTCTTAGAGGCCATCCTCAGTTCTTAAGCAAAAGACTGCTTAAAAATCTTAACTCTGAACAGAATAGCACTACACACACACACACACACACACACACACACACATATATATATATAGAGAGAGAGATCACAGTTGTTTTAAAAGAGCAATTATATGACAGCACCTTACCTGCAAACTGTAATTAGCTTTTGTCCTAATGAGGTGTGTGATGAAGTCTGCAGTGTGCTGGAAGTGAATTTTCTCTGTAAAATCAGATTAAGATAATTAAGTTCCAGAGAGTAAAGAACTGAATTACCAAAACAAAAACAAAAAAAATCAAAACAAAGCTTTATTAGAGCAAAATAAAGCTTTGATTTTACTCCATTTGTGCAAAATGCGGTGAGTATGTATAGGTGTGGTTCACATCCCCTTACCATCAGCTGTTGCATGGATGATCAAAAACTTCTGGTCTTTGGCTGATGTCACTCGGTGGGCGAGTTTAGTAGTCTGAGAAGATAGAAAGAAATAATGTTCAGAAACCACCATAAGCAACAAAACACTTAATGCTTTAAGAGAACATTATTGTATATTTTGTCTGTTTTGTGTACTATCCCTTTTTTCTGATCTGTGTACCACCTTGGTGATATTTATAGAAAGCAAGGTATATTTTATGCTACAATTAAAGTGTTGTTTTAATACAGTTTTTTGTTGTTGTCTTGACTTCAGTGTTCTGTGATTTTGCACTTTAGGATGTTGTGTCTTAAATAAACGGGAAGGCAGTTTAAAGCTGTTTTGTCAGTACAAGTTATTTGCTTCTTAATGTATATTTTAATCCAGAGTTTCTCAACCATGGCAACTTGAAGACATGTGGACTTACTAGCATGGCTGGCTAGGGAATTCTGGGAGTTGAAGATCACATATCTTCAAGTTACCAAGGTTGAGAAACCCTGTTTTAATCCCTCAAATGACCAAAAATATAAAACACAAGACAAGATCTTATTTTATCTGCAGATCCATCATAGGTATTTGTAGAACATCCTAGATATATTGCTCTGAAGAATAGCTCATAAAATAAACAGAGGTACAATGCAGTTTAACCTCTGTCATACGTGTTGCCTACTTTCAAATAGCTCTCAGTAAGACAGAATTCAAATATCATGATTCATTTTGCATTTGTGTTTAATAAAATCGTTTCACCGTTAACCCGATTTACCTCATATATCTTATTATTGTCAATCCCTTGTAATCCCAAGTATCTTTCTGAAAAGGCTGAGGCTGAGGGAAGAAAAGAAATGAGATGTGAAGAAGTTTATATATGAACTACAGGTACTGAAAGGAAATTGCTGAGGGAATTTCTCTTGTTGGACCTTTCTCTTACAGGTTGAAAATTACGCATAGCTGGAAAATTATGATGCTAAAAACACTCCATATAGCAGGATGTTTAAGCAACTTTTGTCAATAGGACAGTTTCTGAAATATGGCCTATGGTCAGGAAAGTTTCAGCCCAGGGAAATGAACTTGGCATTTTTGGCCTCAATTTTTCCAAGGGTCTCAATTTTTTATTTAGTTTTTTAATTCTTTATTTGCCATGTAATTTCAATATCCTGCAGCCCCTCCTGGTGGATGGAGTGTTTGACTTGGACTCCCACAATTGTTTGGGATGTGAGTGAAGAATTCTGGGTGTTGAAGTCCAACACATCCAGAACACCCCAGAATGAGAAAAGGTGTTGCATTAAAGAACTGAATAAGGTTAAACAACAGTTAGGAAAGTTGTTGCACTGTTTTACTGTTACAAAACTTCCTTCCTTCCTTCCTTCCTTCCTTCCTTCCTTCCTTCCTTCCTTCCTTCCT